TTTCAGTTGATGCTACTATTAATTGAAAACTAAATATCGCAAAAACGGCACTTATTCAATGAGTATTGTTGTGGTTGACAAAATGTTACGACGAAATTCGAAAAAAATAAACAATATTTATCAATTAAAATATTATCGTACAAAATCTATAGATTTTGTACGATATCCAATAGGAAACCATAGGACTGAGTCTAAGGGAGTAAAATAATTTTCAAATTATTATTTTGTCACGTTTCACGAACATTCTCCTGGTTTTATAGCGAATAATAACAGAGAACAAATTTCAAAGGCGAGCAGTTGTCTCCTTGGTCATGCGATGTGCATGAATGTTGTTGTCATCCCCATGTCTGAATGAGTCTCTCGGTAGTTTTACAGATCATGCACACCCTCACCCACATGCATTGCTATGTTGTGTAGCGATCACAAAAATTCGTACATGATCAATCTATCCATGAGCAGGGTGCCAGAGATATGTGGCACCATCTTCGCTCTGTCCTTGAACAAAAAGTATCACACACAGTGGCTACTTCTATCTGTCACTTTTACACTGGCGGGACAAAGAGTTAGCCTAAAGACACCATTCTGTCGCCGAGATGTGACAAGTTGAAGATGATTCGAAATTAAGCTGACTGGTTAATTTACCCGTTAATGTCGAAAGGTGAATTAAACTTGAAATCATCTTTCAACTTGTAACAAAATATTTTCCATCATCCGATATTTCTGACATATCCCGCTTAGATTGAGCTCAGGGGTCTGAATTTGATGAAATAGAATGGGACGAAAAACTCATCCCATGGGCCCACTTAATCTGTTCCATCCCATCACATGGGACAAACCGTCTAATAAAAACATCTTTTTACGCCATGATTCGACTTCTATGACTTTCTTATCCAATCATCTCAGTTTCTCTTAACCACTTCCCGTTTTCATCAGTTAATTGCCATTTAGTTTTTTTATACTAAGCTTATAAACCCTACTGCTTTCTTCAACAACAAAAATGCGGATCTAAGACCTTAGCGACCTTCAAAGAATACGATAGTAAATTCATCAGAAGCCATATGATCCATCTGAATTTACTAGACTCCACCAGAATCTAGGATCTGCTTTTTTCTTTGAAGATTTCAACTGCATGTCACTAAATATTAAGAAGTAATAAAACTTCTCCAGTTTATTCCTCATCCATGAATCTTCCGCTTCTGATGAGTTTAGTTAGTTTTTCCAGATTGCTAAAGGTATCCCTGAAGATTGTTTCGTATTCTAGTGCAACCCAGTAGATTTCTGCATATCTTTATGGGCTCTGACGAATTTTATAATTGTTGAGATTCGGCAGAGTCTATCAGAATTTTCAATCGACCTATTGGTTTTCTTTAAACCAAACCTGGTAAAAAATTCGGCTGAAAATTAATTTGAAGGAGAGATGATAAAGATTCCTTATGACAATGGCTTTTTGTCCATATAATTAGAAATTACGGTGATATAATTATTTAAAAATTAAACGAGCTTGAAGCACACAGAACTCCAGACAATCAGTTTCACTTTTCATGGTTTAAATTTCCATAAAAACATTAAACGTTTTTTCAAGAAAAAATATAAGAAGAAAGTAAGAAACGAAACTGTTTCTATTGAAAAAAGGCTAACAATGAGAGTATAATAAGCCCTATGATCCGCCGCTTTTATGAAGTACCTTCAGTCCATCTTTCATCAAAAAAGAATCTGCATTTTTTCATAAGAAAAAAAGAAGAAAATCCAATAGGACGAGAAAATCGTTCCATTCTATCCCATGGGATATTTCAAAAAAACAATTTGTTCCATACGATGAGATGGAAGGGAATGGTCCCATCTCAGTCGAAGCTCTGATTGAGATACCTTACGACTTCCTTGATCGGGATACGCCTTTTCAGATTTTTTTGTTCTGAATGGGGTCCCTGTGTGATTTTTGTGTCCTCCATCAAGTTGAGTTAACTGGATAAGTTTCCAGTTTCTCGATCGATATGAAGTTCAATTGTCACTTATGAATTCTTCGACCAGAAAAGTCCAAAGTCGCCTTCTGAAACTCCAAACCGAACGGAAAACTTGAAAAACATGTTAAGAGCTATAGTTCGAGTGGAGAAGTTCAAAATCATGTCTGAAGCTGATTTACCAAATTAATTTGCGCAGAAAGTTGAACTTTGATTTTGAGTTGAGCTGAAATAAACGTACTTGTACCACCTCCATTTCCGTGTATAAGCACTGTCATTGAGTATCAATGAATGTCAGTTGCCCTTCTGCTTTTGTTTATCAACAACGACATCAATAAAGCAGCGTCTTTTGTTATACTAAACGATAATCTAACAATCTCGATTGAACATCGATATGCCACGAAAGACCATTGGCACAGGCAGCTATAAGACTACGACTATAAGATGGCTCAGCTTCAGCTATGCTGTATCACTGAGTAAATGTCCGAAAGTTTTGACAGTAACCGTATTCTAGAGAAGCACCATTTTACGTATCTCAAGCTCTGTATATGCGCCCCACATGAACTGGAACCACACATGAGTACCTTAGTCTAAGTATAACGAACTTTGCATTGGTCTTGAGGTAAATAAAGCATTTTCTAGAGCTCTGAGAGCTCCCTATCAGTGTCAAACTCTAACTAAATATTGCTAATCAGTTTTTCGATGTTTCTGAGAACCTATTCGTATGAAAAATAAAAAAAGAGGGAAAAGAAGAATTTTAGGAGTGAAGAAGAGCGAAGAAGGACACTCTAAAAAAGAAGGAAAGAATGACCGCTGCGGGGCCTGATTCCGTTTGCTCCTTCGTGATATGTACAAACATATAGAGAATGAACAACTTCAGTATCTTGTTCAACTTGAAGAACAACAGTCAAATTCATCATTAGATAAAATTATTCATTCATATAGAGGTCAAATTATATCGATTGAAGAACTTGAAATCTTCCAATCTAGTGTTAGACAATATGTATATCCATTAATAGTTTTTTTTTCTACTAGTAAAAACAAACAAGTGGGACTTACATGTGCTCAATCTAATGACCCAAATACTTCATCTCAAATACCAGTTATATTTATAATTGAATCAGATATTGATTCACCCATATCTACAGCATCCTTTGCAGATATACAACATTTGATTCAATTTGATAACGAAGAAGTTCTATTTATGATTGGTGCTGTATTTCATATAGTAGCTGTAAAATTAGATAGCGATATTGATAATTTATGAATTATAAAATTGATTTGATTTGATGAAAGAAGAAATGAGCCACTTGAAGTACTTCAAGAATTAAAACGAGAATTATTATCCAGAAAACAAACTGTATGTCGATTGGAAATATTTTGATTGAAATGGTATTATTTGATAAAGCTGAAGAATATTATCACCGATATTTGAAATCTTCCATAGCAGAAGATGAAAAAAATCTTGCTTTGATCCATGATCAATTAGCAACACTCGCTGCAATTAGAGGAGACTTTAAGTTAGCTGAAAACCATTGGAAATCATCTACTGACATATTTGTCAATGTTAATCCACAATTAGATAATTGTAAGATTAATATTGTGTATAGCCTGAATGATCGAATATTTGATGAAAACAAGTTTTTAGACTTTGATCAATTATTTACATATTTTCAATCATCTTTTCCCAATGATTTAATAACTTTTTGGTGTCGAATGTGGGTATGGGTATCCGATGAATGTCGTGCCCACACCCACATCCACACCCACCCACACCCACACACACACACACACCCACACCCACACACACCCCACACCCACACCCACACCCACACCCTTTTTTCAATAAACCAACAATGTATTTATGTAATTCGAGTATTCGCTGACTATACATACATATATTTTAACATTTACTGATTTATGAAAAGATTAGATTCAATCTTGAAAACTAACGTCTGTCCAAAAAAAATGGACTCGGGTATTTTTGCAATAACTCAAGAACAGAAAGAGCTAGAGAGCTGCGATTTTCACCATTGCGTAGATAAATGAGTACTCTATATATTCATCAAGACATGCCGGAGATCCTTGCTGTTTCAGTATTCGTCCACCACGAACCTTTCAAACAGTCCATTGCGCTTTTTCAAAGTTCTATGGAGACATATATATCTAAAGTATGTAAAACATAGCCCGGAGGCCCCTCTACAAAACCACGCAAGGCTGAGCTCTTTAGCTATTATGGTTCAAAATTGGCGCCTATTTTCCTGAGGTCCATGCAAGTCGTTTTTCTCAATGCGATAACT